CGAGAGATTCAGAGATGGGTTTGCCGTTGTGAATCAGAACTGGGATTTGCTTATGAACAGGGTTCATCTTCAGAAGCAGAGGGCTCTTGTTGCTCAAGTCTTCTTCTCTTCCTTCGTACTCTATTCCCTTCTCTGCCAGGGCGATTCGGACCCTCATCCCAAATGGGCTTGGCCAGAAATCCAGAAGAATCACTTCGTCTGCCATTGTTGAACCTCAATCCCAATCTTAAAACACAGAATCTATCACAACTTCCGAGAATGTTAGAAGAAAAGTTAGCTACGGTTACATATATAGATGCAAAGAAGAAGCAGGGGAAGGTGGTTTAGAATTCTAGGGGCTTCTAGTCGTTGCTTTATTCGTCGGTTCGATTGTCATTATTGCGTCAAGATCTGCAGCAAGCATATCCAGAACCTGAGAGAAGAGAACTTCATTATTTCACTTTTTCGTTTGCCAATTGCCACGCTGCTACGTACTGTTATATTTTTTTTCTTGACAAAAAAATGGTTTGCGAATTTCCTAAAAAGGGGAGAAAAAAAACACGTAGAGCTAGAAATTAAAAAGTCAAATTATATATTCCAATTTTAGCTTATTTTGTTAGATACGTGGGAGTGAGATTGAAGAGCAACATAAATAATTTGAAATTTTTGTTGAAAATGCATACATTTGAATATTTATAAAAGATCAATGTGATTTTTTTGAAAATTTTTATTCAGATCATAGATATTTATTTTTCAAAAAGTGCACAATTTTTTATTAATATTTAAATGTGATATAAAATTTATAATAAATGACATTTTAAAAAAATGATGGCATGTACGTGACTAATTTTATTAAAATATTAGCTGAATTTATCATAAAATGAGTATTAATCTGTGTGGTGCGTGCTTTCCAGACGAAAGCAAGCTCCATGCGGCTGTAGACCAGAAATCTTATTGCAGGGGGAAAAAAAAAAAAAACACACACACACACACACAGAGATGAAATCCTATGATCTGTTTGATTTATTTTCTGTTTCTATGTTTTAAAGACAATTTTGAAAAGTAGTTTTTTTAATATAAGTTTTAAAAAAATAAAAAATATATATTTGCATTGTTATTTGGCGTTTTTGGGCTCTCTCTGTTTCTTTTTAGAGGATTTTATGGCGTCCGATCCACCTTAAAAAAACATTTTCACTTTTTGTTTTCTAAAACAAGTTGTGGAATCAAACATGCCTTTAAGTTTTGTTGCGTTGTTTGTGTGAACTCGCAGCGCCTAATTATATGCTTTGCTTTTTTCCCACCACTTTCTGCTTCACTATTCCTATGTGTGAAACCAATGATCCTCTCTTTTATTCCTAAATATTTAAGCATCTCACTCGTTCATTTAGTAAAACCCATGTTTATTATAATCCCTTGCTTACATTTATTTACAATTAAAATGAAGTTCTTCCCTCCCTATTCTACTCTCTCTGTTTATTATTATCGTACATCTTTTTGAAAAGTTCTATATTTCAATTTATATGGCGTTACATTTTACAAAATGTAAAGAGTATCAGTGTGTTTATCTTTAAAATGTCCTTTATAAATTAAAAAAAATTACTTGATAATTTCAATTATTTTGGTTCATATCTCATGAAAAGGTTTATAGTCATTTCAACATAATCTATGAAATGAAATATGTTCAATTAAGTCAGAAGCAGAAATTTTAGAAACGCCGAATAAATTTTCTCATTTGTCAAAAATATAATTGAATTTTTTTCTATATACATGTAATCAAACAATCATTTAATCATTAATCTTTCATATAATTTCACATCTGATTCATGATGATATTCAAGCAAAAAGAGCTTCTTCATTCATTCAAAAAAAAAAAAAAAGAGCTTTTTCAGTTGTTAAAACTACTACTTTTGTATCAATACTAGCCCTGAGTCAAATAAAAAATGAGAAAGAAAAAGGAGATGATATGGAAAACAAAATGGAAATGCAAAATATTTCGAATTTGAGTGATAATATTATCTCCGATTTTTTCTCTCTTTTTATTTTCTTCTCTCTCCATCCAAACGGGACGGCCATAAACGAACGGGAATAGGCTATACATTTAAGGAACATTTTAAAAAGACATTAATTAACATTATGAATCCACAAAATACCTTATAAATGAAACATAGGACTTTTCAAACCACGTATTACCTCTGGTCCTAATTATAAGAACTATTTGACTAATTTGAGGGGATTAAGGAAAGAAGTTAAGTTAGTTATTTGTAATAAATATGTGTTGTCTTTCCTAAAATATCCTTACTAATCAATTATATTGGCTAGAACTACCATTGTTAGAAGGATTAACTTGAGAAAAAATGTATAAATATGAGAGACAAAGTGGATTGGGATCTTATATTTAGAACTAAAATAAAAATCCAACAAGATCTTATATTAAGGACTAGAGGTAGTATTATATTCAAAACGGAGCTTAGGGAAATTTAAACAACCAAAATGTTAGTGGGAAAATTGTCCCCACAACAGTAAACACTGTCTCTGGTTTAGTTAGTTAATACTTTTTGTGTCTCAAAATGATTCAGGTCCCACAACGTACAAGTTTAATTTATTGTTTATTCTTTCCTAATTGCATGAGCTGCTTGTATAACTAAGTCTACAGATTTGCCTTTCCCAAACTAGACCGCTAAAAGCTGGGAGGCATGAAACACCCCTCTTCAGTGCATCATTTGGGATTGAAGGTCATGACCTCCTATTGTTAAATTAATACTGATATGCTTCATTGTGTACTTCCCTATATAAGAACTAGACAACTTAATTTGAAAATATTAAAAAAATTAGTTAATTATTTGTACCAAATGTGTTGATTTTTTTAAAATACCATTATTAATTAGGTGTATTATAACTATTCTTTGATGAAATTCCCTTGTTATGTGTAATCAATAAGAATACTTTAGGAAAAAATTATAAACTTGAAAAATAAAGTATATTAAAATCTTATATTCACAACAAAAATAACTTGTATAGCTACTTTAAAATTCAGTTTTTATGATACGGCAAACAGCTCCAGAGCCCTCCTATAAATGCCTGAAGTAATATGATTTTTCCACAAACCCACTACAAGAACCTTCTGTCCTGAGTTTAATCAGTTTCTTTTTCCAAACTTTGAGCTCATTTCAGCAATGGCTTCCTTCCAGAACTTCAACTTGGGAACCCAGATCCCGGAAGACGTTCTCATTGCTCAAATCATGCAGCTTCATGCAGACATATCAAAGCTTGAATCCCTTAGGCCTTCCAAGCAAGTGAACAGTCTCTTCACTCACCTCGTCAATCTCTGCACCCTTCCTTCCTCCATTAACATTCAATCTTTGCCCCAAGATGTGAAGAACATGAGGGAGAGTCTCATTAACCTTTGTGGACAAGCTGAAGGCCTTTTGGAGTTAGAATTCTCATCTTTTCTTGCCCAAATTCCCAAACCTTTGAACAACCTCACTCTCTTCCCATACTATGGGAATTACGTCAAACTAGCAAACCTAGAAAACAAAATCCTCAGAGACAATGGTTTGGTCCATCCCAAGAAGGTAGCTTTTGTGGGGTCTGGTCCAATGCCACTCACTTCCCTCATAATGGCCACACATCACTTGGCATCCACAAAATTTGACAACTTCGACATCGATGAGAAAGCCAACGAGGCAGCTTGTAGGATCGTTGCTACAGACTCAGAGCTTGAGAAGAGGATGAAGTTTGAGACAAAAGATATCATGCAAATTAAAGAGAAATTGGTACAATATGACTGTATCTTCTTAGCAGCTCTTGTGGGAATGAGCAGAGAAGCAAAAGTGAAGATTTTGGGACACTTGGGTGAGTATATGAAGGAGGGAGGGTTCTTGCTTGTGAGAAGTGCAAAAGGGGCAAGGGCTTTCTTGTACCCTGTTGTGGAAGAGCAAGATTTGGGCAATTTTGAGGTTCTTACGATATTTCATCCCACAAACGATGTGATCAACTCAGTTGTTCTTCTTCGCAAGCCTATGGTTTAGATTGATCGGCAAGCAAGCATTCAAGATGGTCGTCTTTATGGGTGGGAAATAATTATGCTATTGTTGTTTGTTCTTTGTTGGTTTGAGTTTTCCTCCTACATGAGCTAGTCACGTGGGTGGTGTTTAATGTTCAGGTAAATGCTTCCCTCGTTGCTCTTTACGAGCCATTTGAGAACATTCATATTAATAAAAGTGTCAGCTCAGGATTTCTCACAAAGCAATTTTAGTTTTGATGCTGAAAAAATTAATCTTTTGGCATAATTTAAATGATTTAGGCACTAAATGGGTTACACAAAATTATTCAGAGTTGATTAATGCTTAATTGATATAAAATATAACCCAAAAAAATGCACGTCCAACGCAAACACACATTTTATTTATATACTAGCCATTTTTTCACTCCCTCAACACAGTATTTATTCATTTACTTTTGTACACAGGATAGTTTTAATGCTCAACTTGGTACTGTTTCTTTTCAATAATTCTGACGAGTTCGAAGGGGATAGGTAAATATGCCACGTGCTCACACGAGCCATTCCTGAAGCCTAAGACTAGCCGAAGAGAATTCAATGAATCGCTCAAAAATCAAGATTTTTGCGGCAAGCAGGATAATTCATAAAACAAGATATTTTAGCATTTGCATGAGAACCATCATATTGGTTGAAGTATGCATGAGAACCAGCCATTGGACAGCTCGTAGGAATCGGAAGGCAGCAATAGAGACTCTCAATTCCAAACTCCGTCGATGAACTGAATCAGCAAGTGATTCTCACTTGGTGTCTTCCAATTCTCTGCTGTGGCAATTCCCAAAGGCATATCAAATACTACCCACATTTTCAATACAGAATACTGCTACAACAGATTATTTTAATTGGAAAACCTAATAATCAGGAATTAAAGAAACCGTCTAGATCTAATAAATATCAAATGCCACAACAGCCAAAAAAAAGAAACAAAAGGCATGTCACTCAGCCGGAAAAAACTACATTGGCGGGAAAGGAGGCAGAAAACTATTGGAGGCCAGGGCCACCTTTTCATAGTGAATGGTGTATTCTTACCAAAGTGTACAGTTATATTGTTAATAGAACGCATCCACAAGTTATGCACATAGCAAACCCTCATTTTCGTGGATGGAAAATTTGTTTACCAATTCTACAAGAAAAAGAGAAGGATTCCGTGCTAACACATGGCTAAACAGATATCGTACAAAATAAAATCTCCAAAATGCTCTCGAAAAAATAGTGCTGCACAGCCTCCATGAAGAAAGAGAAGTCATGGCAAGAAGACTTCATATCTGAACTGCTACATTAATATGTTGATGGAGCATCTAGAATAACAATGTCAATTTTGGGTGAAGGAAGGCTTGAATGACAACCTACTGCTGCAGCCAGCACAGGCCCGAACAGTCAGAGTATAAGGATGCCCCACTGAGCATCCCAGTAAGAATCTCACCATCACCAGGACAATAGATAATACATACTATGAACACCAAGGCCCGGTAGCAAGATATGTATGCCAACAAGCTGCACAAATGTGTCAATTATGAAAATCTGCGAGTGCCTAAGTGAAGGGCTGGAAATGATCTACAGAATATAAGAACGGGTCTCCCACACACCATGCTTCTCATCACGGTCTTCCAAGTTGTGTCTTTTCTTTGCTAAATAATCGGAGACGATCAATCAGACACTCTTTCAATGACTCAGGGATCTGTGATATAAAAGATCCCTTGGCCTCGCTTATTAGCAACTTCCTGCATTGCAATAGATCATAGATTATGTGATTAAAACAAATGCTATCTATATCTCCACCACAGCATATATAAAACAGTCAATAAAGACGGGGAAACATATTTTTACACAAGGATGCTACAGTCTTTTCATAGATTATGAAACCATAACATTGTCTAGATCTCCACCATTCACAAAACCTAAGTCTAGGAAAATGGATGTCTCCTTTTTTCTCTATAACACAAAATAAAAAAGTCAATAAAGACGGGGAAACATATTTTTACACTAGGATGCTAGTCTTTTCAAAGATTATGAAACCATAATATTGTCTAGATCTCCACCATTCACAAAACCTATAGGAAAATGGATGTCTCCTTTTTTCTCTATAACACAAAAATACTCATGATGACCACCAACAAACATGAAATCATACTCAGAGAGGGATGTGGTCCTCAGACATCACCCCCCCCCCAAAAAAAAAAAATCCTTAGATGTCACATCACAAAACAGCCAGGGAACATGCGTGCACACAGGGATATTTAATATAAACAACCCTAGAGATCCAACCCAATATACCAGAAGTATCACTCTGAGGCTTCCTAGTTTTGACTTAAATTTCCGTACCAAGATCCAGAACAGCCAGGGAACATGCGTTTCACACAGGGATATGTTGATATAAACAACTCGAGATCCAAACGCAATATACCAGAAGCATCACTGTGAGGCTTCATAGTTTTGACTTAAATTTCCGTATCAAGATCAGTCCATTTCATCTAAACCTCCTAAATACTAGAATATCTTCATGAAATATCTAAATTAGCCAAATGTCCACGCCACATTATGTCTATAAAAACTTCAAAGAAAGCACCACGTGGTGGCCTCCTACACTTTCTCCTTAAGCCTCTAGAATAATATATATTTTCCATCTATATTTTCATAAAATATTGCTTCACAAAATGCATGAAAACTTCATTTTCAAACAACTCTATAGCCCATCATTTGGCATATAGCCAAATTTTAAACACATCCCCCTGCACTGATTAGAAGATGACAGTAAAAAAATTACAGGAAAATCAACAAAGATTTTGTAAGCATGTTTGTGTATACCACAGATCCAGTGAGCAATCTAAAATCTGATTAGACTTACTTTATTTCATCCTCACTTGATGAATTCCCTACTTTTGGTGCGCACAACCTCTTTCTAGAAGACATATAGCCATACACCTTATCTGTCCAGCCGCATGATCTTAAAACTGACTTTGCCTCTTTTTCAAGCCTGAGTAATGTTTTGAAAAGACATCAGAATAAGGCATATAAAAACACTTTAAAAGGTGTGATGTACTAATTGTCTGAGCAATTAAGTAAACAGAACGAAGGCATAACAAATTGGACATGAAAAGGAATCCTACAAAACTAAGATAACCTAACACCATGTAAGAGATAACATCATAACATATTTTAGCACCCACGAGATAACTGAAAAATGAGAAACTATCAATAAAAAGAAATGGTGGAACCGCCAATGACAGAAAATGAATTCAGGACTTATTCAGAAAGAAAATGCAAACTAAGAGACCAAAAGTCATGTGCCTAGCATAAGCCCCACATTGAGTAGTATGGGTTACTCGGGGTTATTATGGTTTATTTCTTCCACCAAACTATTATGCTTTTGCGATGGGTTCTCCTCTCCACTTAGGTGCCCATCAACATCACCTTCCTAAAATCCCATTAATATAAATACCCAAACAGTTACAGTAACAAATTAAACTTCAACTGAATTACTGATTTCAAACAGCAACTAATATTTGATTGCATGACAGGCATTAAAAAAGAGTCAAAAGTGGAACATGATAAATCATCAATGCGCACCCGTATAAAAAGAATAGCCAGGTCACATCAAAACAAAATATTCATTAAATTCTAACATTACTCATGTTAGGTGAAAGAGTTCAGAAAAGGCTGAGTTAAGGCATATCATACATGTCTTTCAGTTCCTGAACTCTTGCTTCAGACTGATCATCATGGGAAAGCAAAATGCTGGTAGCCACTGGTTCCTTCCTCTTATTCTCCAATGATTTAGACTGCTTGTTGAGACCATTGCCTTCTAGCTTATAGTTATCAGGTCCTTTACCTGATATTGCTCTGCTTCTCTCAGTGTCATCCACAAGATCTGACTTTCTGGGATATTTTTCAACAGACTGAATACTGCTGTTTTTATTTGTTAAGACTGAATCCTTCCTTCTTAAGTTGTCAACAACATCTAATTTATTTTTTTCAAAACCATTCCTGATTGATGAAGAATCTTTCTTGACATTCTCCAAACCAACGAGTCTTTTGCATGTCCATTAATTACTACAGGCTGGTTCAACGGAACATCAATTTTCGCATTGAAACTTTCATGGCCTCTTTTGGAAGTAGAATTTCCATTAAAATCAACCTTCACTCGTGGGCTAGAAAGCTCTTTACCAGTCTTGGGCACGGTGGACATGTCCTTCCAAGAAGATTGTTGAGAATTTGATTTCGCATGCACTACTTTTGGTGATGCATCAGATTTTGGACATTCAGATGCCTGACTTCCATTAATGTGATGAGACCTTGAACCATTTGAAGCAAAACCATTTCTAATTGGCACTGGCCTTTGGTTAGTGCGAGAAAAAAAAAGTATGTAAACCTTTTCTGACAAAACTTCTTTGAGGGTCGCAAGTGAGACAGAAGAATCATCACAGCAATACCATTGGCCCTTGGCATCCTATACACAATACAAAAGTAAGTTTCTGGTATACATAGGAGAGAATTTAAAATTCAATGCATTATATAGACTGCTGAGAACATGATGTGTGTAAAGGTGAAGAATATATTTACAGACCTTTATATAAGCATAATAATGGCCAGATTCCGGGGAGTATCCAGAATGGACAATAGTACCAAAGAGCCTATATTCTGGCATTGGATCCTGCATAAGCACGAAAGAATTAGAAAAGTAACAAGTTGAAAATCATATTATGAAACAAAAATAATGAAAAATAAGATTACTTGAGGCAATATTGGATAGAACGATCAATCTGACAGACTTCAGCCCGGTTAAAGGCTTCTAAAGATTCTTCGGTGGGTAGCCTTAACCTAGCAAGTTAGGCTTTATGGTAAGTGCAATAGTATTAAAACCTCTAGGGAAGAATAGCCTATAGTCATGGTTTGGATGAAGATGTATATTTGATTCATAAATGGCCCACGCATTATACCCAACAGCTGTGCCCACGTAGAGAACACAGCA